CGGCGCCCGCCGCGGGGGCGGGGGGAGGAATTCCCGTGTGAAATTCCCTGACGCATCTCGTCCCCCGTCCCTGTAAAGCGCTCTGGAGCTCAGAGGTTTACTCTGCCCGTTCTGCATTGAAAGCCTCCACCCGCTGCGGGGCCCGCGTAGCCATTGCCCGCAGCCGGCTCTGCGCCGCCAGGCAGGGAGCACTCAGGAGGCCCGAGTTTTAAGTTTTGACGTGCTGTATGCGGTACCTTTTTAATCCATTGAAGCTGGAAAGCTTCAGTGTTGTCTAAAGCGCCTTTCTTGCCCGATTTTGGGCAGTCATGCTCCTCAGGGACTGTTAAATGCGTGTGAAATTAAGATAAGGACCCCTCCCCACCCCCAGCCCAGTGTCTACCCCGGACCCAGCCCTTGGGCCTCCTGCCTTTCATTTTAAATAAATTCCACCTTCTACTGGAAAATGGAGGGGAAAAGTGTATTCCCCGCTCCCCCCACCATCCCATTAAGAGCTCACCTGTGCATTCTTTGACAGTAACACCTTGCCTTTACGCTGACTGAAGGTCACGTCTTTGAGGATGATGGTGGCTTCCTACTTCCTTTAGATTGCATCTCAAGGGATGGATGCGGGCTGGTGTTGCTGTTGGTATAGTCTGGGCTCTTGACTGAAGCCTCTTCCCTTACGCTGTGCTGATATTATGTCTGGGTTCTGGTGGGATATCTTAGGTGTGAGCCTGTCTGGGAAGGTTGCAACCTGCTGCTCTGGGAGGAAGGTGTGACTTTGGATGATTTTTTTTTTTCCAAATTAGCCCAACAGCTTGTATATCTTTTGAGGCTTTCAGCCTTCTGCCTGGGAAAGGTGACTTATCAATGGGATTAATATAGAGTCATAGAATCATTTAGGTTGGAAAAGACCTTTAAGATCATCAAGTCCAACGGTTAACCTAACACTGCCATGTGTGTTTACTAGTGTTACTGTCTGTTGTAGTTGCTTAGCTTGCGTTGCATATGCATGCAAGGCTGACTGTGAGGTGCTATAACCTGCAGTGTATGTCCAAGATCTTTCACTTCGTACATGGCTGGCACCGTGGGCTGCGTCAGCACTAGTTCCTACCAGAGTAGCTCAGACGAGTCATGGAGTTGTCCCATTCTGAACTTGTTTGCAGTTTCCAGGAGAAAGGGGTCCTCAGCACGTAGAGTCAGAGGAACAGCAGGTCAGAATCTACTCCACGCCTGACTGCAGGCCACCGAGTTAAACTTGGTACAGCATCTTCATAAGCTGTGCTTTCATTACAACATGGTGGCAATAAAGCGTTACCCAGGACGCGTAATGTAATGATTTCTGCTAACAACCTTGCTTCCAACAGGCTCTCCTGAAGCAGGTGTGTGGCTTGTAGCTAACTGAAGATACACTGGGCAACTAAGTGAATCATAGAATGTTTTGGGTTGGAAGAGACCTTTAGAGGTCATCTTGTCCAACCCCCCTGCAGTGAGCAGGGTCATCTTCAACTTGATCAGGTTGCCCAGTCCAACCTGGCCTTGAATGTTCCCAGGGATGGAGCCTCCACCCCATCTCTGGGCAACCTGTGCCAGTGTTTCACCACCCTCATTGTAAAGAATTTCTTCCTTATATCCAGTCTAAACCCACCCTGGTTTAATTTAAAACCATCACCCCTTGTCCTATCACAACCATCCCCGCCTTTCCTGTGGGCACCCTTTAGGCACTGAACAGCTGCAATCAGGTCTGCCTGCAGCCTCCTCTTCTCCAGGCTGAACAACCCCAACTCTCCCAGCCTGGCCCCGTAGCAGAGGGGCTTCATCCCTCAGACCATTCCCGTGGCCTCCTCTGGCCCCACTCCAGCAGGTCCCTGCCTGTCCTGTGCTGGGGACCCCTGAGCTGAATGCAGGGCTCCAGAGGGTCTCACCAGAGCGGAGCAGAGGGGCAGAATCCCCTTCCTCGATGCTGGCCATGCTGCTGGGGATGCAGCCCAGGTTGGCTTCTGGGCTGCTGGCACACGTTGCTGGCTCATGTCCAGCTTTTCATCCCTCAGTACCCCCAGGTGCCTCTCGGCAGGGCTGCTCTCCATCCCTTCATCCCCCAGCCTAGATGGATACCAGGGGTTGCCCCCACCCAGGTGCAGGACCTTGCACTTGGCCTTGTTGAACCTCATGAGGTTCACATGACCCCACCTCTCCAGCTTGTCCAGGTCCCTCTGGATGCCATCCTCAGGCATGTCAGCCGCACCACTTGGCAAGTTTGCAGATGACACCAAGCTGAGGGTGCACTTGATCTCGCTGTGCACTCACTGGTGCTCTCTGTTCTCTGCAGTCATGTTAAATTAGGAAGATAATAGCTTTGCTTTGGATGACTAGAGTGAAAGAGGCTGGGTAATTTGTTTCAGTAGCCAGTACTGCTATGAGTACAGGTGACGATGCAATGCTATTGTGACACCTCTATAGTGCAGGTTTTCTTTGGACTCTCTCAGGAACGCAGTCTCTTATAAAAATATTAGTGCAGACAGGTTTCTCAAAATTTATCACTTCACTGCACATTCTGTTCCCCTCCTCTGTTCGTATAATTGCTCACCCAGTGACACCAATTACAAGAGTGGAAAGAGCATCAATCTGGAAAGCTGGGAATGCCAAAAGCTTTTTTTTTTTTTTCTCCTCCTGTACTGTTGAAGCAAACTCTGCTAGGTCATGTCCTGAGTAGGAGAGACAAGGCAGTGTTCAATGTTGAATAGTTGTCCCTAGTCTGGAAATCCAGAAATGCTGTGCATGTCTCTTTTCAACTCTTTAAGGAAAGCAGGTGAGTTTGGTTTGGGGGTTTTTTAAGCATGGCTCGAAGTGTCCCTGCAAAACCAGTCTCTGAACTGGAGAGAAACTGAATTATGTATGTAAGTGCAGCTATTTCTTAATGTCATGTTAACGCTCAGTTTGTGGGAACTCTTTGCTGCCTGTCTCCAGAAAATAATCCCCATTTATTAAAACAAGTCAATGCTTTGCGATTAAGTCACAGTCCACAGAGGTTCGTGCTGTGCTTGGCACTTACCCTTCCTCTCTGTCTCCCCCCAGCCCATTCCTCTCTGCTGCTGTCAGGCTTGCTGCTGCTGTGGAAATGGAGGAGTACGGAGTCGCACCAGGCCAGTGCGTGGCCATCATCTGGGACAGCTCCTCGCCAGTTGAAGCCCTGAAGGATCTGGTGAATAAAATTCAGGCGCTGGTGGGAGCTGATAATCGCGTCTCTGTGGAAAACATTAATCAGCTGTCTCAGTGTAAGAATGAACTTAACTTTTCACTGTTTCATTTAAAGAGAAGGGGTGCTTCTGTTGTGTGGGCTGACATCTTCCCTTGTTTGTAAGTCAGCATTCAGAACCCGCTGCTAGCTCTTACCGCTGTCAGTAGAGCAAAAAAAGTGATATACCCTGGTTGTGCTTCCTATGATGCTGTACACAAGCATGAAAGATGAGGAGGTGGAACTGATGTATTAAGCATAGCTGTGATTGTATATGTGTAAAATTATACCATTTTCCTGTTTCTTTCTCTTTAGCGGCTCACAAGGAGTCCAGTTTTGATGTAATACTCTCTGGTGTGGTACCAGGCAGTACAACACAGCACAGTGCGGAGGTCCTGGCGGAAATAGCTCGGATACTTAAGCCAGGGGGCCGTGTCCTCCTGAAGGAACTGGTGGTTACAGAATCAGGTGAGAGAATCCACATCAGCCTTGCTTTCATGGCAACATAGCAATTCTTGTGAGGATTAGGCTGAAACGGAAAGGACAGGAACCCTGACTGACAGAGATTTTCATTCTCCTGACACAGTAACCTGAATAGCAAGGTTTTTATCCTGTGTTTCAGCTGGTAGCTGTCAGAGGTGCATGCACTCTCCTCCCAAAAGCGCTGGGTAGGCTTGTTCCTAAACTACATTGAAAAGCTCGGTGGACACTGGTCTTCTCCTAGGGCGTGTAATGTTAAACAGTTGCAGATGCTGTGTTTCTGAGGAGCTTCTGAAGTGATTTTCAAAACAGGTGACAAATGCCAAGAGAAGCTGTCCCAGAAGCCAGCTGAGAAATACTTATCCAGAAAAGGTAGAAGTGTCTGGACTAGGTTTTAAGAGTAAATCCAGAGTGCCTGCCATGGGTCAGCTGGAGGAACACCCGAGGAGGTGAACACAAGGTTATTTCTCTGTCTTATATTTGACCTGTGTTTGAATCTTGCTGGCACAGGGAGCTCGTTCAGGATGGAAGTGGGAAATAATACACCACCTGATAGGAACAGAAGCATCTGTGCCAATGGTGTTTCTGTTGGTGCAATCTACAGTGCTGAAAATGGTGACGCAAGTGGCAGCAGAAATGCTTTCCTCAGGCTGGGAGGATTTGCCAATGCTTTGAAGCTGGCAGTGGCTCTGTGGTGCGAGGGGGAATGCTTCTGGGACAGAACAAAGAATGTGCAAAGTCTGGAGTAGATGAGGTTTCTTTTTTCCAAAGTCACATCTGACAGGCTGGAATTTGGTGGACTTGGAATAAAGTGCAAATGAGACTGGTGAAAAGAGGGTGAGTGGATTCTGCTCAGCACAATCCTGTGCCCAAGTGAAGAAGCCTGCAATGAGTTTTTGATTAAACAGTAATTGTAATAGCTTTTGCCTAGGAGAACAAGGCTCTTGAATGGTGTGTTTCTGAATGTAATGGTCATTTAGGAGTCCGTATTTTGAAAATTTCATGAGTTATTCATAGAATCATGGAATGGTTTGGGTTGGAAGGGACCCCTAGAGGTCACCCAGCCCAACCCCCCTCCAGTGAGCAGGGACACCTTTAACCAGATCAGGTTGCTCAGAGCCCTGTCCAACCTGGCTTTGGAGGTTTCCAGGGCTGGGGCCTCCACTACTGTTTGCTTTAATATGTGAAAATGTTTTGAGGGTTTTTGTTGTTTGGGCTTTGGGATGTTTGGGGTCTTCTTTTTCCTTTTTTTGGTGGGTGTAAATTGGGTTGAGGAAGGTTTTGGTGTACATATAGAAAAGATCTGGAGCTAGAATGGCTTTGTGATCCCCGGCCGCTATTTTAACAAACAAGCTGCTTACGCTCTTTCTGATTTGTTCCTGCTGTCAACTAGAAAGGGCCCAATTTTAAAGCAGAGGTTTGGCTTGAGTACTTCCGTCTAAAACTCTTGCTCTTACAGGTTTCTGAGTGACCTCTATTCTTGTCCTTCCCTCCTTCTACTTCCTGCTTTTGTGTTTTCCAGAGAACAACAGCACAATCAAGACAGCAGCCAAACTCCCCACAGCTCTGACTCTCTCTGGGTTGGTGGAAGTGAAGGAGGTACGTATGTACAAACTGCGTCCAGAAACTCCCTCGTGCGGTTAACTTGAAACGTGGATGGCAATTCCTGGGGACTTGCCGGGTGACAAGGTGTTTAGATACCCTGGTTTACTCTAAATGTGCATGGATGCTGCCTGCTACAAACGTTAGTTACTGCAAAGGTAGTGTTTTTCTTCAGGCTTGAAAATACCAATTGTTTGAGCTCACTGGAATGCTGGACTGAGTGCTGAAATAAGGGGTTCTGCATGAGGCTAACCTAAAATCTTACATTGCAGCTGCAAAAGGAAGCCTTGACCCCGGAAGAGGCCCAGTCAGTCCGAGCACATTTGGGTTACCAAGGCAGTGACCTTCTCATTGTTCAGATAGAAGGCAGGAAGCCCAATTTTGAAGTGGGATCCTCAAGTCAGCTCAAACTTTCATTTGCCAAGAAGCCTGGTCTTTCAGGTAAGGAGTGGTGTGTGCTAAATGTTTGGGTGACAGGAATCCCTTGGATTAGGGAGACAGCTCTGGGGTAGGGAGTGCTACAGTAAAAACCTATGAAATGGGGCTTTCCAAAGTTGTTTGAACTCTGTTGGGAGTAGATGGGGCAAAGGCTGGAGTCACCACTGTTTCTTCCTTTGTTTTGGCTCCAGGAAAACCCTCTGTGGACCCAGCCACTGCCAAGCTGTGGACGCTCTCTGCCAATGATATGAATGATGAAGAAATGGTATCTGGTCTTGTTTGTGAGGCTTTGCAGTTCCTTTTCTCTCCTCTTCTTTCCTACTCTAAATGGTTTCAGTCATGCCTCTTGGGAAGCTTTACAGCTTAGGAGGTAGAACAGCATCCCCAGGGCAAAATATCTCATCTACTGTGCGAGGTCCCAAGAGCCCAGAGGTGTGGTGAGGGCAGAGAGGAGCCGTGGATTAAGAGGGCACAGCTGCAGCACGTTAACGCCAGTGCTACAGATAGCACCGTTTCTTTGAACATAACACAGCAATGTCATTCCCTACTGACAAACCTCTTTCCTGCATGTTGTCTTCCATGGTTTGTCTTCAGGATCTTTTGGATTCTGATGAGCTGTTGGATTCGGAGGATTTGAAAAGGCCAGATCCATTGTCCCTCAGAGCTCCATCCTGCAAAGAAATGGGCAAAAAGAAAGCCTGCAAGAACTGGTCAGTGCTGGGATTAGTGTATCGCTGAACCTTTTAACTGCAACATTAAACCCTTAGAGTTGGATGGATTTTAAAAAGATTGTAGACACTTTGCTGCTCTTCAGGGCATAATTCTCTTGTTTCATGCCCTTTCATATCTTAACTGTTTGAATGTAAACCTGAATACAATGAGAATTGACTAACCACACTGATGGGATCAACAGTCTTCTTGAAGGTGGCTATACAGTTTGTCCTGCCTTGACTAAAACCCTGGTTTCTCAGATTTCAAGGAGACATAGCACATGCAGCAAGTTCTGTAGAGTCATTTCCCACTCAATTTGAACTTGAGGAGTGCGTTCCAACACTTGTTATACAAACTGTGGTGTTGAAGAACAAAGTGAAGGGTGTGAGAGTCCCCGAGTTAGCTGTGTTGTGTGACAGAGCGAGGGCTGTTGTGTGCGAGTAGGGCTGAAACAAGTGTTGGTGACTCACAGCCTTTAAGCAGAAAGATGCAGGTGACTTCTTTATTTTTCTACAGCACATGTGGCCTGGCTGAAGAGCTGGAACAGGAGAAGAGCAGCTCACAGCCCAAGTCTGCCTGTGGAAATGTAAATTGTCGTTTTTTGTTTCTATACTGTCGTCTGCAGTATGTGATTTGTGTCTAAGAACTGTGTTCTCTAGTGACTGCTCCCTAAGCTGGCTTGCTGCTTCCAAATACTGCTTGTGCAGCTTCTGTAGAGCTTTGTCCTGTTGCCCTGCACCCATGTGCTTGGTACCAGCACGTGCCGTCTGTTCCAGTGCAAGTGCCGCCTCTGTAGGAGTCGGAGTGAACAGCGAAGCTTTACCTCCCCGCTCTGGGAAGGTCACCTTATGGGAGCATGGGGGACCTGGTTGTGGTTGGGGAGGCTGCCCAAGCCCAGCATGCAGCCGTGCGCAAGCATGCCAGTTGGGGTGTAAACTTGCTGCTTCCCTGTGAGCACAGTGCCCTGCAACAGCTCTGCTAACCGTGCTCACCAGATGTGTTGAGAGAGGGTAGAAGGGAAGTGGTTTGTGTGCTGATATGTGCAAGGAGCACGTCGTCTCTTAGGCTGAAAAAAGCCTATCGCAGGGGGAGAGAACTGAAAGTTGCCCCCAATTACAGAAGGTGTTTTTCTTTCTCTTGCCAGTGCTACCTGGGGGATGCGTTCCGCTGTGCCAGCTGCCCTTACCTGGGCATGCCTGCCTTCAAGCCTGGGGAGAAGATTCTCCTGAAAGAGAACCAGCTGCATGATGCCTAACAGAGACATCTCTGATGTCCTGCAAAGGACTCCTCTGCTTTTCCATCAGTCTGAGGTTCTTCCTGCAGTCCTCATCCTCTCAAACCCACATTCCCTGGCCAATACTCCATGTAGGGAGGGACGCTGTGGGCACTGACACTGCTGTGAGCTCATCACTTGTAATCAACCTTGGGCTACCTGATAATTTTTGGTGACAAGTGGTCTTGTATGTATTAGACTTCATGTTATGCCTTGGGTTAGCTGGCTTGACTTGACCCTGGGACGCTGGCCGTCACAGCACATCCCACCAGCAGAGGGAAGTAGAACAAAGTGTCAGATTGACCTCATGTGCTTGTGGCAGGACTGGTACTGCCCCATGCCCATGTTGTACTGCTCTAATTTGCCCTAATTTTTTCCCCGATGAATCAGCAGCTCTGGCTCAGCTCTCAAGGTAACACCGGGCTCCTGCTCTCTTTGGAATTGGAACCTGCAGTTCCTTACCATGTGAAGGTGGCTCAGCAGCTCCTGTTGGCAGCCCGGAGCAGTGAGTACCCTTAGCAGTACATACTCTCAGCAGCGTACGTGAACTTGGTGGTAAAGTCTGGCAGGCATGATGAGCTTCCAAGTGTTTTTGGAGCCTGCTGATGATATCCCCTGCCTGTTTCTGTCAAAATGACAAAGATTCCGTCCCACTGAGAAAGCTCTTGCCCTTAAGGCAGTGAGCAGATTAAACAAGATCTGTCTTGTCCTTCCACGCTTTTCTGTCCTATGTGAGCCCGCAACACAAGGGCAATCTGAGCCTGTCACCTCTCTTGGTGGTTACCAAGTGAGTTACTTGCAGTGTCCAATAAGTAAGAATATAGCAATAAATTACTTTCTAGATGATCTGTGGCCACCATCTGCTCCCGCTCTGCGAGATACTGACTACTCTTTATTTATTTGCATAATTACTACTAGTGAAGCAGATGTGGGGTGAGGGAGCTGTTCATGTTCTGTGCCAGGCTAGCTTCTCACCCAGGGAGGGGGAGGAGGAGAACCCAAAGCCAGTGTCTCAGTGAGGATTGCTTTTTTTGGAGCTTTTGCTCTGTGGGATGTGCCTGATAGGCTCTCAGGGGGAGCTGGAGTGAAAGGCTGTTCTATTCTTGAAATAAAAGTGACCAATAGTAAAGTGTTTGTTTTAAGACTGGTACTGGTGGTGTTCTAAGCACATCTCTCCTTTTATTCAGCCTCTCAGTGGTTTCTGGAACCATTTAAATGTTGCGTTGTGTCTTGGGAGTTCTCCATAAATTCTTCCACTGAAAACGTGACTTGAATACATGATGCCCAATGGAAAGAACAGAATCAAGCTGCCTAGATTCACTTTTTTGTTCAGTCTAGATTTCAGAAAGAGGCTTTTCCTGGTTGAGTAAGGAGAAGGTGGCTTGCAGGGAGAGAAGGGAGGGAGTCCTCGAGGTGTGCAAAGCACCCTGTGTGGGTCACAGGGCAGGTGCTGTGGTGGGAGCTGTGCGGTACCCGCTACTTACCTGGGAGCTAGAGGGGAATAGGAGGGACTAGCAGCAACAGGGACCTCCAAGAGCTTGTACATAGAGGGACGGCTGCCCTCCAGCAAGAGCATGGCTTTCCCAGACCCTTTCCACACCTTCCTCCTGAGTCCCTGCCTCTGTCATCAGCGAGAAAACTCCCAAGGAGGCACAAATCTTGTGATAAACCTGTCCCACAAGCCTATACCCACCGTGGTATCTATAGAAATGTAAAAGCCTCTGCACACGTACGATGTTTTGGGGTTTTATTGCGTTTTTTCAGCCTCACTGGTAGCAGAAGATCAGATCTCTCCATGTCTCAGTGCGAAAGGTTCCTGATAAAGGCAGCCCTTAACCCAAACTCTGCTTTCCTTTCAGGAGTAAATAAGATAAGAGAGGGAGGAGGCAGCAGCAGAAGCTTTTGTTTTACAGTGATTCACTGAACTGGAATTTAAACAAGCTGGAAGCACTTCTGGATACTGCTGAGTTCAGTTAATGATGGTTACAGCTGTATAATCTTGTTCTTTTTAATTAGCGTTACTCGCTCTTGGGGTGCAAGAGGCCCTCAAAGGGTGACAGTTTGGCAGTGGAGCTCTCAGTTTCCTAGGGGCAGAGCTCAGGTCATGCATGGTCAAGAAGACACAGGCAATGGCCTCAAGTTGTGCCAGGGCAGGTTTAGGTTGGACATTGGAAAAAATTCCTTCACCCAAAAGGGCTGTCAAGCCCTGGAAGGGGCTGCTCAGGGAAGGGGTCGAGTCCCCATCCCTGGGGGGGGTTTAGAAGCCGGGCAGAGGAGGTGCTTAGGGCCAGGGTTTGGTGGTGGGATGGCAGGGTTAGGGTAATGGTTGGGCTTGGGGATCTTAAAGCGCTTTTCCAACCTCAACGATTCCATGGTTCTATATAGCCAGGCTGGGTGGCCCTTGGGGTGGTCTGGCACAGCCCTTTTCATGTTCTTACAGCATAAAATGACCCATGTTGTTATTTTAAGGAGAAAAGGGTTTTAAAAAAGCTGACTTCAACTAAGAGGGACTGCTCATGACTCCAAGAAGAGCTGAGCAGGACACCCAAGACTTCTATTAAAAGCTTTGGCAGCGGGTTATCCTCTGCAGAGGCAAGAGGGGAAGCTTCAGAGGAGGCAAATACAGCTGTATGGAAGTTCTTCAGCATCCCACTGGTCAAAAAGAAGGCCACAAGGAAAGGAAAACCACAGAGGACATGAGCAGAATGACACGATTGCTACATTTCAGAGGCAAAATCGGAAAGCTAAGCTACAAAATGAGTTAAGACTAACAAGGGCTGTGAAAAGCTCTGCATTTGCTTAACTGCCTTAAAAAGAAGAGGAAGGAAAAGGAAAAGGTCGGCCCATTGCTTCACCAGGAAAGTCATTAACCGATGATGTGGAGAAAGCTGGGACATTTGTAGCGCTGCTTTTGCATCCTCCCTTACGCCCAAGGTTAGTGGGGATCAGACCTGGGATATCATTTTTAACAAGGAACCAGGAAAGAAGCTGTGAAATAGCCTTGGAGTGGTTACACAAGTGAGTAAGAGGTAAAGAAACGCAATCAGGGCTGCTTAAGGAACTAGGTGAGACAGCCTCTCGAGATCTTGGGCGCTTTGCAAGTGCAGGCAGGAAGGACAGGGCAGTGTCTTTGTCCATCAGCTAGAGTTGAGCCTTCAAATTTCAGTTCTTAGAAAGATGCTGTCATAAGCAGTTAAGCAAGTGTGTGAAGATAAAAGTGATGAACAATGCCCTCCTTGCCCCAAACGCATACATGCCACTTCCATACAGACAGAGGGCCCTGTGTGTTCAAGGTAGGTGGATGAGATATCCGTGATGGGTTTCCTTGCTAGGAGCACGGAGGGTGTCCTTGCCACCCTGCAAGCTCTGCTTGACACATGGGGGAAGCCTGAGCTGGGTGAACCAGAAGTAGAAGTGCTGGGGTTTTTTAGGGCAGAATCGTAGCACCCAGGGAGAATGTGGAGGAACCACTCAGCCTCTGGAGAAGAGGGGTACCAGGGGGTGCAGCTGGGGATGTCTCTGCAGCTCCCCAGGAGTTGCTGCCTGATGTAGTCCCCAAGCCATGATGGTGCTTTTGGGTGCTGGTGGACAAGCAGTTGCTGCCAGCCCAGTTCCTACGTGGTCCTCAGCCGAACCTCCTGCAGAAAGGGCTCAGCAAGTCTTGAACAAAGCTGCAGCCAGGCCAGGCCAGAGGACACAGGAGGGGCTTGGCTGCCACCATGCTTCCCTGCCTGGTGGACGAGCAGCAGTAATCCAAATGGGGAAGAACAGGGACATGACCGGGGTCACAGTGAGAAAACCCAGAAAAAGCAAAGGGAAAAAGAAAAAACAAGGCAAGGAGCAGAAGAGGAGGAGGACCTGCCTGATGTCTTGCTACCGAAGTCTTCCTCTCCTGACTTCTGCAGCACCGTGCAGCCTGGTGGGAGCAGGCAAAGAGCCTCCCGTGCAGCGCTGGGGGAGGATGAGGAGCAGGGCTGCCCTCAGATGGAGCACGGCGGCCGTACAGGGGCTCTTCTTTGGCT